CCCGATCGATGTGGGACCGCCCTCAAATCCACCCCTCTTTGGGGCCCAATGTCTTTACTGCCACACCACCTCGTATCTACCCCCTTCGGGGAAGGGCGAAATGGTGGTTTATTCTCCTCCCCATCCCCAACCAATGTGGGACATCACAATCCACCCCCCTTCGGGGCCTAGAATACATGCTGTCACTCTTTCCTTCCTCCAATCGATGTGGGACCGCCCCCAAATCCACCCCCTTTGGGCCCAGCGTCCTTATTGACACACCACCTCGTATCTATCCCCTTCGGGGAACAGCGAGAAGGCTGACACATCGTCCAGTGGTATCTACCCCCTTCGGGGAATAGCGAGAAGACTGGCACATCGTCAGTGTCTGGCTCTGATACTATTTGTAAAGGCCCAGATCTACCGTTAATAAATATTGTCTTTTTTAGGCTTTCCCTTTCGAGCTTCCCCTCAAAGCTTTAAAACGTGTCTGCTAGGGAAAGGTTTCTACACATTTATAAATGGTGGTTTGTTCTCCTCCCCAACAAGCACATCACATCATCAATGAGGTCAAACACAAATATTTATGGATCAACGAAAAAATATAATATTTATATATATTTGATATGTTTCATTTTAATATTATAATAAGGAAAAAACCAAACTAATTTTCCTTTAAACATTTGGGCCGATATCGGCCCATTCCAATATATCGTTATTGGGCTTTGCTCTCGCGCCAGCCCAATTTTCACTTACCCACAATCAAAAGCCCATCCAACAATTTCGCTGTCCAAACCCTAGCCTTAGCCATGATCAGCCATTTCCACTTCCCTCCATTAAAATCCTCATCCGCTCCAATCAAAAGCATTTCTCCATTCAAAGCCAGTCACATCACATGGACTTCTCCGTCTGCTCCCTCCGACGTTCTGTCACCGGAACTATTTCGACCACAACGACGACCACCGCAGCAATCGCAAACATCGCCATCATCATTCTGTAATCTTCTGCGCCCTTCCACATATTCTCCTCGGCGGTTTTCCTTTTCCGGAAACGATTCCAGTAGCTTGTTGGTCCGTGAAGAAGGTTCATCATCTGCGAAAGTTTTGTTCTCGGTTGGGTGTTCCAAATGACCAGTATTCAAGGCTTTGGCGCGTGCTTGCAGGAGCATGCTCTTCAGTTTCCGCGTCCCAGTTACAACGACAGCTGCAGGAGGTATACATACCACTTTCAGTTGAATTATTAAACAACGATTTAAGGTTTTTGGATTTACTTGAAAGCATTCAAATACGCCATTTTAGTAGCTGCCTTGACATATTATTTTATTTTAAGAAATGAATAATTTATTCGTACTGATCGATGCTGGTCATTAAGCATCCAGCTGACTTTGATCAAAGTTGCTCCATCGATGATTATTGCAACCAGTCGTGGCTGTGTGTTTCTACTTCTTAATCGAATTACTTCTATTTCGCATCTCCCTGCAATTTTTCGTTACAAACATACTGGCAATACATATAATTCAATGTATATTCTGTCTGCTTGTTCGTTTTTTTCACTTCAAGTATGTAAGAAAACGAAAGGAAATAATCTTAAGTCATGTCGCCAATGATACTGCCGACGAACGTTAGGTTCTTCCTATTTTGTTCAATAGATTAATTGTTTCCTGAAGTGTAAATGAAATGTAACGTAGAATATCAATTGGGTTCACCGTGAATGAATGGTTCAATTTGAAATGGAGGGCTGACTGAACACTACGTATCAAATTATGTACTTACCAATGTTACTTCCTTCATTACTGTCAGACGCAAGAGGACTGCCTTATGGAGATCTCCACAGGCTGCCATCCTACCCAATGCACACCTCCCAATGCGCAGTTTGGAAGTCAAGAACAGGTGAGCTACTTAATTTTTTGGATTCGTTCTTATGGAGGTTAAGTTGGGAAGGCCTCTCGCCTCTTAGTGAACTGGTCAATGTCTGTAAATAGGATTTGTAATTGCATTTTTCATGTTGGCTGTTTGCATTATGTAGCGTTTAGGACATTAGTCATTGCTGTCTGTTTACTTCAGTTCATAATAATAGTTGTTCTGTTAAAATTATTTTCCATCACAGAGCTCAAGTTTCCTCAGTTGGTGGATATAAGGTAACAGAAGATGTGGGCTTTTTTTTTTTTTTTTTTTGCATGCTTTCTCTCACTGATTAGACACAATGTAATAATTGACTGTTCTTCATTCACCATTACGGTCCGAGGAAGAATTAAACGACCAACTCGCTCACACCCCCCACCCCAAATTTTTTTGGGAGATACTGGCCGGGAATTTTGATATGGTGTGAACTCTTATAGTAAACATTCTGAACTCAACAACTGCTGTTACACGTTACTAGCAATTAACACTGTGATTGACTTGTGTAATCAGTGTCTGAATGTTTTTTGGCTCTACATTATTTATGATTATGAATCTGTGCTGGTGTATCCGCCGAGTCATAAAGTATTCCCTATTAGTCATTGCTGTCTGTTTATTTCAGTTCATAACAATCATAGACTGGCTCAATTTCTCCAGCTTTTGTTTCCAGGACATCCGCAGATGATATCAAGTCTCTCAGACTTGTAACTGCCATTAAAACACCTTATCTTCCGGATGGTAGATTTGATCTTGAAGCATATGATGCTTTGGTGAATCGGCAGATTGAAAATGGAGCTGAAGCTGTGATTGTGGGCGGTACGACTGGTGAAGGTCAGTTGATGAGCTGGGATGAGCACATAATGCTTATTGGTCACACTGTCAACTGTTTTGGTGGATCAATCAAGGTCATAGGCAACACTGGAAGTAACTCTACAAGAGAAGCAATTCATGCTTCGGAGCAGGGATTTGCTGTTGGAATGCACGCTGCCCTTCATATAAATCCTTATTATGGCAAAACTTCCATCGAGGGAATGATCTCACACTTCAATTGTGTGCTTTCTATGGGCCCAACTATTATATATAACGTACCACCTCGAACTGGTCAAGATATCCCCCCACATGTCATTCAAACTGTTGCTCAAAGTCCCAATCTGGCAGGTGTGAAGGAGTGCGTTGGAAACAATCGTGTTGAGCAGTACTCGAACCAAGGAATTGTGGTCTGGAGTGGAAACGACGATCAGTGTCATGATGCCAGGTGGAATCATGGAGCAACTGGAGTTATTTCTGTTACTAGCAACTTGGTGCCCGGTTTAATGAGAGAGCTCATGTTTGGAGGGAAGAACCCTTCCCTAAATGCAAAACTGATGCCTTTGATGGACTGGTTGTTCTTCGAACCCAACCCAATAGGCCTCAACACGGCGCTTGCTCAACTCGGGGTCGTGAGGCCTGTGTTTAGGTTACCATACATACCTCTTCCAAAAGCAAAGAGGGAGGAGTTTGTGAATTTAGTCAAGCAAATTGGGCGGGAAAACTTCGTCGGTGAAAAAGACGTACAAGTTCTCGACGACGACGATTTCATTTTGGTTAGTCGGTATTAACAGCACGGTTCCATGCTGCCTTACTGCTTCAGATTTTTCAGGTCTGTACTCTATTCCCCATGCCCTTAATCTTAAGATTTCTTGTTCGTTCTCTGTAGTGTAAGGCAGGCTGCTATGAGTTTTGTGGTGTTGAATTTGTAGTAATAATAAAATATGAATTAATGGACGTGAAACCCAAGTCTTCAACTCGTTTCTTGGCGTCTAAATGGATGCCTGTTGCTGTTGGTTGGGGCCTCATTCTGTTGAGATATCCAATTCCAAATTTTTAAAAATTATATTAAAGGTTTCCCCCTTACGTTACGTTCTTGTTTGTTGATTATATTCTCGTCTCTATAAGTACATTGAGAATATATTAAAGGGGGGGTTTTTTATTTTAATATTTTCTAGAAAATTCTATTTATTGTTCTTATTCTCCTCCCACTTTATTGACTGTTTTGTAACTATTTCATTATTGTTTTTTTAATAGAAAAAACCCCACTTTTTTTAAGTTTAAATAAATGTGTAAATTTTGTTTGGTTATTTAAATCAAATATGTGTTTTATTACTATTCATTAGACCACATAGAACACTTTTTCAACCTTAATTGGAACAAAAACCAACCCAAAAGTAAATTTGAAATATATATTTTTTAATTTTAGAATAAAATTATAGCATTTATCTCAGTTTAATTAAATTGAATATTGGGTATTTTTTTAATCAATATTTTAACTATTTTTTTTTTTAATGATGTGATGGCTTTGTAAATAATTATTGATTTAGACTTCATTTCAATTTTGGTATTTTAGGTTAAAAGTATAAAGGAAAAATAAAATAAAATAATTTTAACTCCCAAATTTGTGTTTTATTCATTTTAATTCTAAATTTGAATTTAGCAAGTTCTCCCTTAAAATATTATTTATAAAGTTTTCTCTTGAATTACAAAATATGGGTAAATACACATTTTAAATAGGGTCAAATTTATTTTTGAGAAAACTTTATTTTATTAAAATTAATGAATTTATGCAAAGAAGATTTTTTTTTTTTAATGTTGCTTTTAACTAAAATTAGACAATAAATTAACAGAAATTAAACCACTCAAAATTGAAAGTTTATGATAAAAAATTATCTCATGCATTTCACTCATTTTCTTACTAAATATTTTACTTAAATTTAAATTATATTAAAAAAAATTATTCATTATTCGAGCAAGACGTTTTATGAATTTTTTTTTTATAATTTTAATAATAATTAAACTAGAGGAAACCACGCAGGTTTTTTTAAAATTAGCCATTTTTTTAGTGAGGGAGAAAATAGAAAAATAATTTGAAGAAATTACTATAATATATTGTCAGAAAATGAAGAAAATATATATTTTTAGTTGAAATTACTATCCACTTTGATTCGAGTAACTTGTCATAGCATTATTTCTTAATCCTATCCTCTTACCAATGTAATTAAAATATATATAAATCGATTCGAGAGAATATTTAAAAAAAAAAAAGAATACAAGAATTTTAAGGAGCGAGAGAGTCGCAACGCGTTCTTGAACAAAGCACCAACCAAGCTTCTTCAATGGAGTTTGATCACACAAACAAAGGTTCATCAATGGAGAATTTCGATAGATCGAATTTTACAGTACAGACTACAGAGTTTTGCTTCATGATACTTCATAACATCACTATGTTCTGAAAATCTATCCCCTAATAACTGAATTTTACCCTTATTCCCCTCCCCTCAAGATCTAAACCTAACTTATTGTCAAAATAACAGATTACATACCAAGGAATCGTAGGAAAAAAGAAAGAAAGAAAGAAATCGGAAGCAAGAAAGTTATCAAAGGTTGAGAGATCCTCTACTTGATTCTTTGTTACAGACGATTTTCAATTTTCGAGCCAGGCGCTCAAATTGGAGCTAGGCTGTGGTTTTTGCTTGGAGAAATTCTGGAGTTGAGATAACAAAACCTGATTCTCTTTGTGAAGAAGAAACGCTTTCTTCCTCAGCCTCTCGTTCTCCTCAATAATGCTCTGATTCTCCATGTACAGTTTCAAATTCTTGATCTCCATCTCTACCTTAACGCCCGCCGTATTCGCCTCTTCCTTCTTGAATCTCATCCTCCTGAAAACAAACCACAAACTCTGTAAATACAAAATCAGAGAAACCGAAGAATCAAATCAGAAAATCAAGAACAAAAAAATCAATCACCTCAAAAGCCTGTAAACTCGAATCGGCCGGCGGCGATGGCGAGAATCTAAAAACGAACGAGTGAGGTTCAATCGAGAAGAATCGCACATATTTCGGCTGCTGCTGCAGAGAAGGTCGACTTGGAAGAACTGGTTAGCAATGGCGGAGAAGGAGATTGGAAGTATAAATAGAAGAGAGACGAACAAAAAGGGAAATGGCAGAAGAGAGAGAAAGAGAGGCTTTCCATTGCAATGATTACAGTAAGACTCATGATGGCAAAGGGGCAGCAAGTAGATGACGAACAATGCAGAATTAGAAGACGATCACTGTGAGAAATAGAGATTTATTTATTTATTTATTTTGAAAAAATAATAATAATAATAAAAAAGTCTAAAAAAACCTAAAGCCGTAGGCAACAATTAGGATTCAGTTCGGTTCATTTGCTCCAATTAAATGCTTTATTCGTCACATTTTGTAACTTCCATTAAAGTAATTAATATTTCTTAATTTATAAATTTTATTTATTACATATAATATTTAACTTTTATGTCATAATAATTATTAAATTAAAAAAAAGTATATATATTAAATATTTATTTTAAAATTTAAAAATTAAATTCCTAATTTAATCTTTATATTACTGTTATAAGTTATATATTTTTAATATTCGATATTTTGAAATTTTTATAGACTTTTTAAGTATAAATTAAACACTCAATTCGTTTGAAAGTTTCATTAATATCTTCAAACATTTTTAAAAATACTGATATTTTCAAAACAACCAAAGAAAGTGACCTATAAGATATAAATAAACGTTTCAATTCGTATACAAATCGTAAAATCTTTTTTAATTTTTTTAAATATTAAAAAGTATTAATACAAAAATTGAAATTATTTTTAATGCGATACATCAAAATTTTCACCTAATATTACGTTTTTTTTAATTGAAATTATTTATTGCCTAGGAATTCTATAAATAAATAAAAATATATATCAGTTTTAAAAAAATTATTAGTTTTTTTTTTAAAATTCAATTTAAAGGATGAGGGGAGGAGGAAATTTCGTGTAAGATATAATAAAGTTTTTGAAAAAAAAAAAAAAAAAGAGAGAGAGAGAGATTTATAAGAACCATATGGTAAAATAAAAAAGCATATGGTAAAAAAAAAATGTGTACATAATAATGTTAATATATGCATAGATACGTAACATAGCCGTGTGGAACAATCAAACTTAGGGCAATGATGAAGTTGGAATTGTTTGGCTTGAAATTAAATGTTTGAATATAATTTGTGTGCGTTCAAAGTACCAAACCCAGCAGCTGCCTCCCTTTACCCTCCACCATTCATACCCATAACTTCTTCTTTCTTTTCATTATTATTATTTATTTATTTATTATTATTATTTTTCAACTCTGGTTTTGAGAATGTTTTATCTTTCAGCAAACAACTCATCCTATTATTCTTACACTTCAAGCTTTTCCTTTATAAGTATAGTGTTTCTTCAAGCAATTCTTATTTTATTACCAATTTTTCACTTTTTTATTTTATTTTTTATATTCTCGAGTATTTTTCCAATTAATTATGCACATTTTGACTATTTTTTCCCGATTTTAAGTAAGTGACCATCTGTAACAACTTATGTCCAGTTTCGAAAACCAGATTGGGCACTGATGCCCCCGATATTCCCCTGTGACATGGTTACGTTACTTACTCCTCGCTTCTAAAAGTAAAAACCATCCACACAAATCAACATGAGTCCTTCCAGCAAAGGACACTTAACTATGAAGTTCTATGATTGAGCCACCGAAAAGGACAGTGCACCTTGTTGGTATGGGTACTAACTTTCCATTCTTTTAAGTGTTTTTCAATCATCCTATCCTTAGAATCGTTCTGATTTGAATGAGGGCTCGATTCATTCATGTACTCTTCTTTTATTCCAGTGTAACACCATTACGTCAATTTGGGCATGTTAAACAGATCATATTATATAGTAAGATAATCTAGTGATTTACTAGTTTGTTACCGAATTTATGATTTCATAGTTTTGTTACCAAATCTATGATTTCATGGTTTGTTGCTAAATCTATGATTTACGATGTAATCTTCATTATACACATCTATAAATACATGAGGTTGTGACCCATTGTGCCATTCAACTTAACATCGTATCAGTTCAGTGGATAAAGATATCAATCACCATTTTAAAACTCGAATGAGTTTTAACCTTATTTTTTCATATTATTATTATTGTTTTAACTCGTCAAAATGACCATTAGACCAACCATGTAATGTTCAACATGTAACTGTGAGGATTTAAATATCTTTTCAATCATTCTCAGTCGAAAATATATATTTTAATTAATTTACTTTGTTCAAATTAACACAGAAGGTTTCGAAAATATATTTTAATTCTATAATTATATTAATTTGAGATTGTATTTTAATAAATTTCCAAATTTATATTCAAATAAATAAAATTAGAATTAATAAATGACCTAATTATTAAAATATATATATATATATATATATATATATATATTAATTTAAGAACTAAAATAAATATTTTAAAATTTTAAAATATAGGTATTAAAATGTTATTTATTGATTAAAAAAAAAATTATACTCGTTATAGGGAGGGTGTGAGAAAGATAAAAGATGAAGAGAGAAAGGATGTTTTTGAAAGGCAGACACTTTTATTTTATTTTATTATTTTTTTTTTTTTTTAATTTTCAGTAATTTCGTCGCGTTGGCAAAACTGGCACGTGGGAGCTTTGTCAAGCCATATCACATTTAATCATTTAAATTATAGAGTTTAATTTATTTTTTATAATTAAATTAATTTAGATATTATATTACTTTATTTGATATTATCCATTCAAAATCCTTTAAATAAAATATTTTTAAACAAGTATTTAATACATAAAAAATTTACTTGGGAATAGAAATCTAAATTAATTTAATTACGCCTAACAATTTTTCTCGAACTACTTATTTGAGAAAAAAAAGTAAGTGTCGAGTCAATAAAGTTAGGTCCACTTTTTGTCTATTTTCTCGATGCAATCGAGTACAAAACCATGTTTCGTTAAATAACAAAATAAAATATATCACATACATAAACACACACATACATATCTGTATATATAATATATAAAAGTTTCAAAATTATTCTTTATCAAACAAACTGAGATTTGAGATTGAATATTATTTTAAATCACCATTACATCGGATGACAGTTTTATACTTTGAATCTATTTTTGATATCTTAACGACGGGTCGAGGATAATATTGTAAATTTAAAAAATAAAAGTATTTTTGAAATCTATAAATTATTTATATATATATATATATAGTTTAAAATTGGGTGGGTTGTTCTTGATGATAATGATTCATGAGCACCACATAAATAAGTGTGTGTGTGTGTTTGTATATGCAAAAGAGGGATGAAATGAAATAATGATGATAAATTGACGGTGTTCATAATTTGTCTAATTTAGCTCACCCACCTCACATGGTCCCCCATTTCCCACGTGCCACCTATATACCTCCAATTTCTCCCTCAATTTTTAAAATTATTAATTAATTTTTTTTAAGAGTTTTAAAAAATGTACTTGAATTTTGAAAATAATAATAAAAAAAAAATTATACGTGGGAGTAATGTTTAAAAATTTAAATTCAAATTATTATGATTTATTTTTTGAAAAAAGAAAATGATAATACAAAATTTGAAAATTAGTAAAACATTCTCTTTTGCATGTATGTCTTGTCACTTTAATTATTTACATTATTAAAGCTTTGAAGAACAAAAAAGATGCATTATTGGATTCATTAGTAACTAAAGTTTTGAAGGTTAAGTTCCATCAACTAATCCAATCACATGTTTAAATTTTAATTTTCTTTTAATTTAAAATCAATTTATATTCATTAATTTTTTGCTCTTATTAATTAAAATATTAAGTTAACGATATAAATTAAAATCTAAACTTTATAAATTTAGAGGACTTCATGGTTAGATTTTGAAATTTACCGACTAAATTGATATAAATTCAAAAAATTAATTAAAAAAAATAGTATTATTAAGATAAATGGTGATTTTTTTAAATATATTTATTAAAATAACCCAATTTAAATATTTTAGAAAAATAAATTGTAGAAATATATAGATAAAAAGAAGGGGATATTTTGAAAATGACAAAAAAAAATAGTGATGGAATGGAAGCATATCATATAATCGTTGAGGATGCGAAGACAAAATAAAAAAAGGAATTTATTTTTAATTTTTGTTTTTTAATAAAAAAATAAAATTCCATGGAATTCAGTAAAACTTAATATGATCACAAGTGGGACCCACAAGACGAGTTCTATTGATTTTGTTCAATTAAAATATTAAATAGTTAAATAAAAAGTTGTAATATTTAATTTAAGTTAGGGTTTATTTTCTGAAAATAGAAAGAGAAAAAATGAACAAACAAAATGATTATTATTTGGAATTTAATTTTTTTCTAAACAGAAATTCATTAGTGTTATCATTTTCTCATTTATTTAATTATTTTATTTCAATTTGGTTAAATTTAAAATAAGTAAATGGATATGCCTAAATTATTATATCAAAAAGATGACGGTAAAATTAATTTAATTGTTCGACTATAATATTTATTTTTATAAAATATTTTAAATTATATAATTACATAGAAAATATATTTTTATTCCCAAACTATATTTTAAGAAAATATTAATTCATTTTCTTCGTGTATTATTCTTTCACCCTTTAACAAATAGCAATAAATCATCTTTAATTTAAAAATAAATATGTGAAAATATATAATCAATAAATAATTTAATTATTAAGATATGCATCTTCAATGAAAGATAAATTTCTTCATTATTTATTATTATTATATTATCTCTAATTTTCATTTTTTTATTTGCATTTAATTATAAGATAAATAATCTTAGTATGGAATACAATTTGTTAGTCTAATTATATAAGCTGAAATGCTCGCTCATTCATCTACACGAGATACTGAAAATATTAAAACTCAAAAATTTAAGTCATGTTTAAAATATTTGTCGTAATCTAACTAACAAACAAGTTAAATTGAAAGTTTTTAGTCCGTAAATTTTTAGTTACATATCTATTTAGTCCATAAAACTTTAAGAGTGTTTAATAAATTTTAAATTTTCGGTTCAATCTATTTAATAAGAATTTACAATTTTATATACAATAAATTGGTTCGACCACAAAAAAAAAAAAAATAATAATAATAATAATTGGTAAGGAATAGAAAATTGAATAATTAAATAAAGTATGTACAAATATTTAATTTAATGGGTAAATGGTTAAGATGAAAGGAGGTAAAAATAGGTTAAATTAAGGGAAAATGAAGTAGTTTTGAACGTACCTCTCATTATCAAA